TAAATAAATAAATAAATAGTCTGTTAATTGTTACAATGATTTCAGGCAATTCCAAAACTTGTTAATTTTGTACAAGTTCATTTATTTACATCATCTCTAGATTCCATACTTAAAGCATACTAAATCGAAACAAATATATAAGGCAGTCTTACAGGTGTGAGAAAAAAACCTGTCGGTACAGACATTAAAATCTAAGCATCATACAGTTATGCAAAAACTGCAGGCTTAGTTAAAATACATCCTTGCACCTTGTAAAAAGATGCAGGAATTTAAATTCAATAATAGGGAAAATTTCAGATGTGTTTGAATCTAAAATACAAACACATTTAAAACACAAGTTCATAATCTGGAAAGAAAGACATCAGAACACTTAAAACTTCCTAAGAATACAATGATAAAAAGGAAAAAAGCTTATCATTTTCAATGAAAGACATGCAAGTTTTTGAACGTGAAAATAAATATATACAAAGTAAAAAAGCACTATTTGGCTGTGTTGTTAAAACAGAGAAAATTTTCTTGTCACCTAAAATCTATTGCTGGCTGTCACTGCCACACGGTTATCTTTCCTCTCCTTCAAGGACACTTTCCCCCTCTTCTCTATTTGTTCATTATTCTTAGAACATCCATACTTTTTCCTTTTTACATTAATTTTATAACAGCTCCTATTGCATAATGTATACTTACTCTCATTTTAGCACAAGGTTCCATGTCTATTTTGTAATATCTCCATGTTACTTAATAATAGAAGTAAACCACATTACAAGTGGTACTTCAAAATGAACTCCATTTTTAGTCTTTTCTCTGATTTGCATTAAATCAGCATCTCATTGTTTATTTCTAGTGGAAACCAGCATAAACCTGAATCAGTATCGTATACCTTAACTTATCAGGATCTCTGAATAAAGTTCTTTCCACATTCCATGCATTTCTATGGTTTCTCCCCAATGTGAGTTCTTTGATGTAACCTAAGAACAGAACTCCGACTAAAGCTCTTCCCGCATTCGATGCATTCATGTGGCTTATCCCCAGTGTGAGTTCTTTGATGTACATTGAGGTGACCACTCTGACTGAAGATCTTTCCACATTCCATGCATTTATGTGGTTTCTCCCGTGTGAATCCTTTGATGTAACCTAAGGTGAGAACTACGAATAAAGCTCTTTCCACACTCCATGCATTCATGTGGTTTCTCCCCAGTGTGACTTCTTTGATGTACATTGAGGTGACCACTCTGACTGAAGACCTTTCCACATTCCATGCATTTATGTGGTTTCTCCCGTGTGAATCCTTTGATGTAACCTAAGGTGAGAACTACGAATAAAGCTCTTTCCACACTCCATGCATTTATGTGGTTTCTCCCCTGTGTGAATCCTTTCATGTGACCTAAGATAACGACTCTGCCTAAAGCTCTTTCCACACTCCATGCATTTATGTGGTTTTTCCCCAGTGTGACTTCTTTGATGTACATTGAGGTGACCACTCTGACTGAAGATCTTTCCACATTCCATGCATTTATGTGGTTTCTCCCCTGTGTGAATCCTTTGATGTAACCTAAGTTGAGAACTACGAATAAAGCTCTTTCCACACTCCATGCATTTATGTGGTTT